ATCTTTTTTTTTTTTTTTTTGGCGTTGTTGCCTCTTATTATCATTGGTTAAGAGTTCTACTAATAAGTATTTCCGTCTCAAATATATTCCAATAGTAAGAACCATCGCCATTAGATATATCTTACTGCTGCCAAAGTTTACCTAATTGTAGTTATATGAAAATGCAAATGACTTATTATGCTAGGCAACTTAATGGAGAAGAGCTGCAAGGACTTGGCTTGGAGGAATTAATGAAATTGGAGAAAATAGTCGAGGGAGGAATAAGTCGTGTCATGAAAATTAAGGTCCTATAGTTACTTCCCCTCCTTTTGCACTAATGAGATTGGTCCTACAACATACGTTGATTCCATTAACTTTGGGATTTTTGTGCCTTTCAGGGTGAAAAGTTTATGAGAGAGATCAGCTCCCTCAAGAAAAAGGCAAGAGTACTTCTCTACTTTTCATTCGATTCTGTTAATTTCTTAATTAGGATATTTTCTTTACAAGGTAGGACTATAAGCAAAACTCAGGTCACAAGGCTGCTTACTTAAATAAAAGAAGGATATTTTCTTATTTTATCATGGATAATATTTGTTAAGACTTGTATAATTATATTTTTATATGTAATGATAGTTAGTTGTATAGTTAGTGGAGTTAGTTAACTAATTAGTGGGCCAACTTAGCCAGCTCACCATTAGTTGTATTTTTCTAGTATTATACATATATATACTTTATACTGTATTGAGAAAAGAAGTGAGCTTTTCACTTTCCCAATTCCGACTCTCTCTCTCTTACAGCTCCCTCTCACATAACTCTCTAGAAGGACTCCATTGGAGCTCCAGATCAAGCTTCAAGCTCACCCTCAAACACAGTTCTAACATGGTATCAGAGCAAGGAAGCTCATGCTCGACAATCCGCTATCGTCTCTCTCAATTTAGCCCACTCCTTTCTTTCTTCTGAACCTATCTCTATAGTTCGACCGACATTTGCCCTAATTTGTTCGAATCGCAAAATTGGCAACTAATTCTTCAAGTTTTACCTGAAATTAGTGTGTATGCAACAAATTCATCTACTCATGGTTGTATTAGATCATGAAGATACATCTGTTGGTGATACCAGTATTGCCGCTGCAGCGAGCACCGGAATAGATCCAAGTGATCCACCGTACCTACATCCATCAGACAATCCTAGAGCAATGCTCGTCTCAGTTCCTTTCAGTGGAATTGGATATAGATCTTGGAGACGTAGTGTTATCCGAGGTCTGTCCGTCAAAAAAAAGTTAGGATTTATAAGTGGAGAGTGTAAATCACCAGATCCTCAATCTCAGAGGTTTCGACAGTGGGAGCGATGCAACGACATGGTGACGTCTTGGATTCTAAATTCACTCTCCAAAGACATTACGGATAGTGTGGAGTATGCTTATAATACTGTTGAATTGTGGAGAGAATTGGAGGATCGCCATGAGCAAACTAATGGTGATAGGCTGTACCAAGTCCAAAAGGAGATAAATGACACGTCTCAAGGCGTGCTAGACATTACAGGTTATTACACTAAGCTGAAAAAGCTCTAGGAAGAGCTGAATAATTTGATTAAGAAGACTCACTGCAGTTGTACCTATACCGGTGGTGCCAAGGAAAACATGCACAAGGCCGAGCTGGACAGGAGATTGATACAGTTCCTTATGGGACTTAATGAGGTCTACACTATTGTACGTGAAAGCATTCTTGTGATGAATCTGCTCCCAACTCTTGCACATGCTTTTTCACTGCTCATTCAGGATGAGAAGCAGAGAGAGATCAAACCAAATAACCAAATGCTCTTTGAGTCTGCTTCCCTAAATGTCAACACATTAAAATCTTGTTCCTACAGAATAAACTACTCTGCAAATAACAATTTCACTGGAGGCAATAGGCCTCGACCATTTTGTGACTGCTGTAAGAGATCAGGGCATGTGAAGGACAAATGCTACGAACTATACGGGTACCCTTAGAGCTTTGGAAGTTCACACACTCAAAATTCAAATGCAGTGCAGAACACGAATCAAGCTGCAAGGTTCAACAAAGGAAGGAGAATAGTAGTCAGTGTGCAAAGGACTTCTTCTGAAGCAATGCTAGCTGGAAAGAATGGATCAGAAGATGGTAAGGTTGGGCAAATCAACCTTTCTAAGGAACAATATGGACAGATCCTGAATTTGCTGCAACAATTTCAGATTGGAACAAGAGGAGAGAGTTCCAGCTGCACAAACTATGTCAATAGTGTTGTGAACTTTGCAGTTATAATAGTATGTACTTCTTCTATTGATTTTGGCAAATTGTCCTATGAATGCTTCAAAAACCGACTTTTGGATATTAGATTCATGAGTCTCTAATCACATGACCTTCAATATATCTTTGCTAACCAACATTGTAATCCTACCATATCCCTTATTAGTAGTTCTTCCAAATGGATATAAGGTAAAAGTAACACAAATTGGAAGTGTGACATTATTTCCCAAGATCATTTTGCATAAAGTCATGTATATACCTTCATTCAAATATAGCATCATATCAATTCATTCATTAACCAGTTCAACCCCTCACAACATTGTTGCCTTTACTAATAACATTTGTCTTCTGCAGGCCCCTTCAATAAAGAGGCCTCTGGAAATTAGTAAAGCCAGTGATCGGCCTATATCTTTTCTGCCCAAGGTGTCTTAGGAACAACCATTCAGAATCAACAGTAAATAGTTCTATTGCTTGATCTGTTTCTTTCACTTGTTGCACACACAACTTACACTGTTTTCATCATTCCACTGTAAATAGCTCATTGTTTAGGGATAATTGCACATCTCATTCAGTTGTAAATACAACATCTCATTCAGCATGCCCTCAAAATAATAAAGTGCAATTCCCCATTGTGAATAGCATCAGTCCTTCTATCTCTTCAAGTGATGATATAAATTTGTTGTGGCATAACAGGCTGGATCATGTACCCTTTGCCAAGATGAGGAAAATGTGCGGTATTCCAGCATCTTTCTCACCAAAATAACCCTTTACCTGCTCTGTCTGGCCAACGGCAAGACATGGGAGGTTGCCATTTCCAGAAAAAATCCACCAATTCCACCAGAAATTTTCAACTACTTCATCTTGATCCCTGGGGTCCTTACCATATGTCAATTTATGATGACTTCAGATATTTCATTTCCATGGTGGATGATTATAGTAGGCCCAGCTGGACCCACCTATTAACCATCAAAAGTAATGCCCTACGTGTCATCAAGAACTTTGTATCAATTATTGAAAACCAATTCAACACCACTATCCAATCTATAAGATCAGACAATGGTCTAGAGTTTAATAACACAGAAGCAAATCACTTTTTCCTTTCTAAAGGGATCACCTACCAAAAGACATGTCCTTATACACCACAACAAAATGGCATAGTAGAAAGAAAATATAGATACTTGTTAAAAACTGCCAGAACCCTCTTATTTCAGTCAAAATTGCCTCTAAGATATTGGGGTGATTTCATCTTGTGTGCAACTTATATAATAAATAGACTACCCTCTTCTCATTCCAAGGGCAAGTCATTGTATGAACTACTATACAACAGAAAACCCACTTACTCTCATATGAGGAGTTTTGGTTGCATGTGCTATCCTACAGTACCCAAGGTCCACAAAGATAAATTTGAACCGTAAACCACTCCACATGTTTTTGTTGGATATCCTTTTGGGGTAAAGAGGTACAAAGTTCTCAGTCTGGCCACTAAGAAAACACATGTATCTAGAGATGTAGTGTTCAATGAAAATATCTTTCCTTTTAGTATGTCTAAGGATACTGTTTCCTTTTCCTCTGTTCTCAACTACATTCCTTTTATTTATTATGTGTCTAGTGATAATAAACAGACTCAAACTAGTGAGCCAAATGATCAAGGGGTTCCAAATGTCACACATCCACATTTGTCATATGATCCATCTCTTTCACCACATTCTCCCAATAATGTAGATTCACCTGTTCCAGAAGACTCACAAAATAATTCACCAATAAGACCTATAGGGAATACCTCACCTGATCATATTTTACAACCAAGACAATCTCATAGAACGCTTAAAGTTCCCACATACTTAAAGGATTATGTCCTTAAATTACCCTAGCTGAAACCAAATACCAATGTTTGCAATATTAATAACCAAACCAATGCACCTTTTTCTCTCCATGCCTTATCTTCTCCCCACAATCACATATCTGCTAAGGATCTGAACTAGGATAGTTGGTACCTTGTGAAAAACATTTGCAGTGATAAAGAGCCTAATTCATATGAGGAAGCAGTTGTGAATCCTGCCTGGCAAGCAGCCATGACAGAAGAATTTGAAATATTTCATACCAATAACACCTGAGAGCTAGTACCACTACAGTTGGGAAACAAGCCATAGGGTGTAAGTGGGTGTATAAAGTGAAATATAAGCAGATGGTAGCATAGAAAAGTTCAAGGCTAAGTTCATGGTAAAGTGCTATACCCAGCCAGTTGGAATTGATTACACAGAAACATTCAGTCATGTGGTGAAAATCACAACATTAAGAGCTTTCATAGCTGCTATAGTCAAGAAAGGCTGGGACATATTCCAGTTAGATGTGAATAATGTCTTCCTTCACGGGGACCTCCATGAAGAGGTATATATGGAAGTGCCACAATGCTTAGTAGTAGATATTGGAAATCTGGTATGTAAGCTCAAGAAGTCCTTATATGGCCTTAAGCAAGCAAGTAGACAGTGGTATGCCAAACTGAGTGAAGCACTGTGTTGTAAAGGATACACTCATTCTATGTATGATTACTCACTTTTCTATAAGAAAACATCTAATTCAATAGTATATGTGGCAGTGTAAGTAGATGATGTCATCCTGACAGGAACAAACAAAAAGGAGATAAAGGAGCTCAAAACATTCCTACATGACAACTTCAGCATCAAAGACTTGGGTAAGCTGCATAATTTTTTAGGGCTGGAGATACTCTATAAAGCTGATGGAGTTATAATCTCACAAAGAAAGTTTGTGATTGATCTGCTGAAGGAGTACAACTGTATGGATTATAGTAGCCTTCCGTCACCACTTGATCCAATAGTGAAGTTGAAAGATAAAGAAGAAACTGCATTAACTGATCCTACTTATTACAAAAACTAGTTGGAAAGTCGAATTTTCTCACTAACACAAGGATGGACATAGACTATAGCGTACAACACCTTAGCCAATTCATGCAAAATCCAAGAGAACCCCACTTGAAAGCAGCTTTTCACTTGCTTAGATACTTGAAGGGTGATCCCACCATGGGAATCTTTATGTCACATGATCCAAACTGCAACATTAAAGTTTATTATGGCTCTGATTACGCCGCTTGCTCATACTCAAGGAAGTCAGTGAGTGGATACATAGTTCTATTAGGAACCAGCCCTGTATGCTGGAAATCCAAGAAAAAGGAGACCATTTCACTGTCATCAGCAGAAGCAGAATACAAGGTACTCAGAAAAGTTGTAGGGGAGTTGGTGTGGCTGTGCAGATTACTTGAAGAACTTACTGTGCCTTTTGCTAAACCTGTAGAAGTGTTTTGTGATAGCCAATCAGCTTTACACATAGCAAGAAACCCTGTATTTCATGAGCGGACTAAACACACAGAAGTGGACTGTCATTTTGCCAGAAGCAAGCTGCAAGAAGGGCTTATTTCACTCTACCATGTGGTAACAGAGAATCAGTTGACTGATGTTCTCACCAAGGCTCTAACAGGAGTAAAACATATAGGGGTCGTTTGGTAGGGCGTATAAGAATAATACTAAATAAGGTGCATTAGTAATGCAGGGGTTAATAATGCATGGTTTAGTAATGCAAGTATAGTTATACAAAGATTATTTCTTATGCATTGTTTGGTGTGGTGTATTAAAAATTAAAATGCATTACATAATTTTTAAGAAATTTTATTGTTTACAAAAATGCCCTCCATATTCTTTAACTTAAGGGACTTTAAGGATAATTTTATTTTTAACCATGCTAATGCATGCATTAATAGCCTTTATATAGCTAATGTCATGGTTTTCTACGCATTAGCTATACATATGATAATACCAAATAGAGTGTATAACTAATGCTTGTATTAGTTATACATAGGTTAAAAAAGTGTACCAAACAAAACATTACTAATACACAAAGCTAATGCATGCATTATTTTCTCTAACACACTCTACCAAACGATGTCATAGTGATATGGGCAAGTTGGTTGTGTTTACAATACCTTCAACTTGAAGGGGTGTTAAGACTTGTATAGTTATATTTTTATATGTAATGATAGTTAGTGGAGTTAGTTGGCTAATTAGTGGGCCAACTTAGCCAACTCAGCATTAGTTGTATTTTCCTAGTACTATACATGTATATACTTTTTACTGTATTGTGAAAAGAATTGATCTTTTCACTTTCCCAATTCTTACTCTCTCTTAGAGCTCCCTCTCACAGAACTCTTTAGAAGGACTCCATTGGAGCTCCACATCGAAATTCAAGCTCACCCTCAAACACAATTCTAACAATATTGAATGAAGTTTGAATTTGGTCTTTGAAATATCAGGTTTTCGGAAAACAATGGAGTATAATTTATAGGTAACTTATGTGTTGAGATTATGAGAAAAAACGGAGAACCTTAAATTTATCATGGTTGCTCTGATAACCTACCTTGGATTGTCTTTGGTTGCTGGAAGACAATTTTGCTTTGAATTTCGGTTTGTTTTTGAAAACAAACACGGCTTTTTAGGTTATTGAAAGTTTTTTTTTTTTCTTTTTAATTCATTTTTCTGACCTTCTAAATTTTCCTTGATGGGAGAATCTATTCGCCAAACAGTGAAATCCAATCTCAGGAATTCTATTATTCCTGAGATTTACTAGCTTAAGCGCACTGAGGGCTGATGTTTAGTAACATCTTTTATCACCTTATATGTAGCTTTTGATATGCAGGAAGCTCAACTACAAGAAGAGAATTCCCAGTTGAAAAAGCAATCAGAAGTAAAATCTGCATTATTATCTTCTTTTTGTGACAAGTTCCCTTACTTCTCTATGAGTACTAAATCATTAAATCTGTGGCATGCAGCAGGCAAGATTGAATGAAGTTGAGGGCCATAATGCAATTGAGGGAGGACATTCCGCAGACTCCATCACGACCAATCACAGCTTAGTCAATGGTCATCTCGATTACATTGACTCAGTTACTAGCCTCAAGTTAGGGTATGTAAAAGTACTGCTCCCTCCGTTCCTATTCATCTGGCATAATTTGACTTAACACGAAATATAAAAAAGAAATGAAAAACTTTTGAAATTTGTGGCCTTAGATATATCATAATACTTGTGTGGCGAAAAAGACTTTTTAAACTTGTGGTCTTAAACATGTCAATAATATTTATGTGACTATAGAAACTTCTCTTTAAGAAAATACTCATATAAATGCATCATTTCTTTTTGGAACGGACTATTATAAGGAAATAATGCCAAGCAAAATGGAAAGGAAGGAGCATATATATATATATACACACATATACGTATATATCTTACCGAATTCCAAACCGCCAACTGAACACTTTTCATGTGTCATACGTTATACTCATTTATAATTTGCTGAACGTTTGCAGCTTGCCTATTCCTTATTGAGCTTGGTTTGTGAACTGAAGATATATAGTTACTGAAAGAAGAAAGGGTAACTCTCTATTGATGCATCATCTAATGAAATATATAAATTGATTAGACCAGTTGACCAGACCTCGAAAAACTTTGGGATTAATCGAGGAGGGGTCAACAGTCTAATGAGAATGTTGTTTCCAGCAGATGTGGCTAGAGCTATATATAGGTACTATCGTCTATCTGTTGATATTCTATTCAATCATACGTACTATATCATCTTACTTTGCAAGGTCACGTGATGCCTTGAATTGGCTAGTTCGTGTATATATAAATATATATTTGTATTTAGGACATCTCTTATGGAAGCACTTTGTAATTCGGTATTATTGACTGGGCAGAAAGGTAAATGC